GCTATTAGTTTGTTCCTAGCTGGAATACCTTGAAAGTTATTCGAGAAAAACTTCATATATATGTGGTGCCGCAATTTTGACTTCCTTTTTGCTCCTGTGACGTCATCTTTGACCTGACCTGAAAATGACCTGAGTAAAAATTATAGACCTTATCCATTTGTACCCTGCACCGTTTACCGCTTGTCGCTATCTTGCTTTATTCTCGAGATCTCGCTGTCGCTCCCGCTCGTAATAACGGACAGGTCATAAAAATGACCTGACCTGAGGTCAACGCAGGGCGATATCCACTTTTTTTATTTTCTCATATAAATGACAATTGATAAGGCTTTATTCGTCATCAGACAAAGTTGCAACTTTCAGTGGGGAAAATATCAAGGTCACTCTTCGAAAAATAGGTCAAAAGGTCACGCGATCAAAATTTTCAAAAATTGAAAATCCGAGATAGCCAAAATGTTTGTTGGTTGATTTTGAGTTGAACCATATAAAGTTTTTATCGTAGAAAACCAATAGTTTTTTAGTTATAGGCCGCCAAACATAGGGCTGCAGCGCCACATCCAGGAATTGCCCGAGGCTATATCTCGGAAACCGTTGTTCGAAGAAAAAAATCCTTGCCACAGCTGGCTTCCCCGCCCATCACAACCCATTAGACCAATTTTAAGCAAAAAATAAAACATGAGGGTGCAGGGCACTTGTCGATTTGTCATGGAACGCCCCGTGTGTTTTCATAGTCATTGTTCTCCTGTAGACAGGTCTTACAGCAACCGGCGGGTTTTTGGCCTCAATGAGGCAGGATCTGCGGGAACCGAGCCGCACGAGCCAGCCAAGCACGAGCCGAAGTGACGCATCTGATGATCAGCAGCCTGACCGGGCGAGCGAGGAGAAGGCGGGCGCCAACCTGGGCGACGAGACAGCTGACCTGATCGCTCGGTGCCAGGTTCTGCGTGAGTCATGGCAAGCTGACCTGATGCTTGCACCAGAGCTGTACGGCACCGCACTGAGCACGTTCATTAGCCGCTACGAGTGCATGAAAACAGACAATTCGCTTGCACCAGTTTGGCACTGGTTGCCGCGCTGTCCCTGCAAGCTCCTTTAAAAGCTCCGTGATGATAGGCGTCCAGCCGACAGCAGTGGCTCGCTGAGGAAGGTCCCACTTGGTGGCAAGCGGCGTGCTTCCACCGGGAGACCCAAAAAAAGACGCCGCCGCTGGCGACCACGGTGCCTACGCCGTGCCAACAAAGGTCGCGAAGCAGCCACTCTGTTCTCAGGTGGTGCCCCCAGCGAGAGCCCCACACAACTTGGCGGAGTGTGTGGCTCAAAACGTGTCTGTGGGTCGAACCCACCGTGCCTAATGTGTTCAGGATGGCAGTTTGGGATGTAATCCTCAATGCGGGTCGACCGTGAAAGCTTTAACCCGCGCACCGACGGGGGTCTGCGCCAACTTAGTACCGACGGGGGGGGGGGCGGATGACCGCCCCCCCCCCCTGAGATCTCGAGAACGAAGCAAGATAGCGACAAGCGGTAAACGGCATCGGATACGCACGGACAAGGTCTACAATGTTTACTAAGGTCATTTTCAGGTCAGGTCAAAGATGACGTCACAGGGGTCGAAAGTCAAAATGGCGGCGCTAGATATGGAGAGGGTTTTTCTCGAATAACTTTCGAAGTAGTCAAGATAGGAACAAACTAAGGGCATCATCGTGATCCTCTCGTCAATCCGCATCGAATGATATATATGTTGACCTCGAAAGGTCAAGGTCAAAGGTTGACCTCAGGTCACGTGACCTCGAGGTCATCATGTATATCATTCGATGCGTCTTGACGAGCTGAACACAATGAGACCATCCGCGCGGCTGTATCTTGTTCCTGTAAGGAGTTATTGGCAAAAAACCTTTGGTGACCTTTGATGACGTCACATGACCTTACCGCTGCCCAACAGCAAAACAGACCTCAAGGTAGTGAAGGTTGATCGTATGTGAGGTCATGTATGGTATATGGGGCCATTCCGACCCGTTTTAGTGGTAAAAACAGGGAGTTGATTTTTCCCCCATTGACTTATAATGGGGAGGTCGCGAAATTGACCTGACCTTAGGTCACCGACATCAAAATTCCGAGATATACAAATTGTAGCTACTAATGACCTAATAACATCCTGCGACTTTCAAAGGCCTCCGACATCTACTGTAGCTCTGGCACGGTGACAAAGTTGCAAAAAAGTGACTTGAGGTTGGGTCATTCAAAGTGACCTGGTGACCTGACCTTAAAAGTTAGGAGGTTCAAACTTGCACACCATGTGTAAAATTGATGAGAGAATAGTCATACCAAATTTCGCGGCGCTACGCGCCGCGGTTTTCCCGCTATCCGCGAAAAACCTCAGGGGGGGGGGCGGATATCCGCCCCCCCCGTCGGTGCGCGGGTTAAACGCGTCGATGATAACGGTCTGGCGGAATGCGAGCAGTGGTTGTCAGATGGTACTCGCATGTGTAAATACATGTTCCAGTGGTTCTGGTGCTGCTGAGACAGCGTATGAATGTCAGGAAGGCGATCCGACTGGCGCGGCGGTCAAAAGCTAATTGTTGGCGTGCGACACCCATATTCGTAAATGTTTCAGCGTGATTGTTTTTTAACTTAATTAATTAAGTTATATCCACGAGCTACAAAGCTGTGTCCTTGCTCCAAATCTCGTATCTTCAAAGCGGAATATTTACTCTAACGTGTCTGGGTGTAAAAGAGATGTAGTTCCCCCGGTCGTCAGAATTCATCCATCAGACCCGGCATGTCGGCCGACCTGTAACCCCCCCCCCCCCCCACACACACACACACACACAAAACGCTCGCCTAGATCCTCCCTTGCCCTCTGTGGAGAGGAGGCCCCCCGGGATCCTCCGCCCCCCCCCCCCTCCCACCTTGGCCAAATCCTAGGTACGTGCCTGTGCAATTGTTTCGTGCATTTTGGAAGATTCGTTTTTGGCAGCATCTCATGGATATATTGCTATGCGAGACAGTTTACAGTTCACGATAAAATAGACCGTTCTGGTTTTTAACAACACCTTACACCCAATATCACAAATCACGATAGGCCGCTGGCTAGAGTTGTCCGAGCAGAATGTGCGCCGGCCGGTGTGACTACACAGGGCCCGAGCGGGTGACGATCGCAGGCTCCTCTCCCGTGACTGGATGACTAGACGTGGGTCGAGCCGGAGCGGTGTTTCGAGCCGGCCAGCTCAAAGAACAGCACGTATGCCTTTCCGCTGTAGACGTTTCCCTGATCCATCACGTGGACCCGCGAGTCGTTGTACTCGTACCACTCTGCCGTGTACGGGTGTCGGCAGTAAGCGGTGTAATGTCCTGAGAGCAGCGTGCCAGAGTGGTTCGCCACGCCGTATAGGCTGTACCGGCAGGGCGTCTGTCCGGCCGAGTAGGGCGACAGGTCCAGACCGTTTATCGAAAAGACGACAGTGGTGTTCAGCTTTCCGCCGAACCTCTCCTGAGGCGAGAACCGCTTCAGGTGCACCACCAGGATGCGCGGGAACTTCTGGATCGAGAGGCTCCTTTTTGGCGCTTCTGGCACTTTGAGGTCGGTTTTTCGTCGCCAACGAGCACCTCCTCTTTGGTGAACAGGTCAAAACAGGCCTGTAGGCGCACCTGGCCACTTCGTGACGGTATTGGCAGACTCAGATCCCAGAACGGGTCGAAGGTAACCGATCCGTGGCCACATACCGTGCACCTCAGGGTAGCCTTGAGCTGGCCCACGAACAGGTCAACAAACTTGGAGTTTTCCAGGCGCAAGAAACGTTTCCAGGCCTCCATTGACTTTTGACTGGCGCTTTTGACTGGCGATTTGACTGGCGGGCCGCCGCCATTCGTTTGGCTACACGACCTACAACTTTAAAAATAAAATTATGCTTCCAATGGTATGCAGAATGCGGGGGTTTTGCGAAATACTACAACAGAAATTGTTCTGTGACGGTCCTGCTTTACCGATCACGATCGCCTACTTTGTCGATACCGCTATCGTGGCCCTAGAAGTAGTCGAGGTGGTCCCTGAAATAGCCAAAAGGGAGCCATTAAACAGTCTACAATCTTTACACAAAAACTTGACCCTTCCGAAATGAAGTGGATGATTGGTGAAAAATGAGTAGGTACCCAGATTTTAGGAAAGCGAGGGTTCCTCTAAGGAGCCCCTAAAACAGTTTGCCAAACTAGGGGATAGGAATCTAAATACTGAATCAATCAAGAAATTGAATCTCTCATCAGCCTGAAGTACAAGAAGAGCATACATATACCGTTTTAATGGCATCACTTTGCATTCGAAAAGAGCGGGAACCTTTGAAAAAAGCGGGAACATACACTGCATTAATGTGGTTGCAAAACGTTGAGCCGGAATATAAATACCTACGCCTTAATTTATAAGCCTGAACTTGGATCCAGGGGGAAAGACTAAGTCATATCACTCAAGTCATAGACCCGCTTTTCACCACCACGGTCCACGCCCCCCCCCCCCCCCCGGTCAACACCTTTTCCACTGCTGGTTTTTCCCTCCCCCCGGTTAGCACCTTTCGTGATGTGATGTGATGTGATGTGATGTGATGTAATGTGACTCCCTCCGCCCCTCATCGGGGCGTAGCCAGGCGGCTCTGGAAGTGGCGGACGGCGGGCGGCGGCCGCCAGGGCCGCCACCACTCTGGTCTCCCGGACCTCCTCCAAGTCCGGATGGATACTGCCGGTGAGTTGTAGGCGGGTCCTCATCAGAGCGGGGCAGCGGAGGAGGATGTGGGCCGGCCGGTCCGCCTCCTCGCCGCAGATGGGACCGTTGGTATTAGATATGCGCTTCCATTAATTTGAAAATCAAACGAGAAAAGAGACTATGATGATGCCGCCAAGTCCCATTTCAAGCCCAAAGAAAATCACCTGGATTAAATCAAGCAGCGACGCATAGCATTGGAGGTGGTATCAACGTACCGCCATGAAGAACTGAAGTTGAAAAATCGTCATCAACACACTCAAAGGCATCGATTGTTTATTGGAGGAATACAGACTCTCGTAGCCTTAGCATGGGTTGCTTCGAAAATGTCAAGAATAAAATGAGGCGGTCACAAGCAAGTAAGCATCACTTCAGCTGGGAAGTCCAGATTCGAAGCAATCGCAGCACAGACGTCTGCCTGAAGCAGAAACAAACTGAAGCGGAACTAAAAAAAAGGACAACAATCATCATACGTAAAATTCAGCAATATCCCAGACTCTCAAAAGTCGATCTCATACCAGCTATTGTCGTCCAGGAACAACTACACCCGGATCAAGCACATCATAGTGAGAATATGTATTGACAGGTATACATTGGAAAACATGAGCATCGTAATCTCATAAGCAAAGCGTGTATGCATCTGAGAGCAAGAACACTGCAAAATACACATGTAAGGCAAGTTAGATAGTACAAAATACACTCGTCCTTATTAAAAGTGAAAGCAGTGGCGGCGATTCCGTCCCAAGTCAGCCGTCGACTGTCCAATTTGCCAGTGGACATTGATTTGGCTGTGGACGGCCGAAAGCCCCGAGTCTCGGGAGGGTGTATAGAGGACGCGCACACAGCCTTGGGTGACCCAAACGATCACCGCGCGCCCCGCCAATGCACCCGAGCACGACTCCCGAGCAGGACACGGGGGAGGCAAGTCGTGATGCAATGTGATGTAATGCAATGAAGGCAAACCCATGGCTAAGTCTGGTCAGGATAATGAATAGCGACTCCTCCACATTGGTCAGCGGATGAAGGCGCTACCTCACTCTACGGACACTGTCCCCAAACACGAATTTCCAATTGTATGATGAAGGTAAAGCGATTGTGTGAATCGAATACAACACACGAAAATCCCGAGCAGCCACTGGCCACGGCAGACAGCAGTGCTAATGATAACAGAGTGTGATCGGCAGCCCGAAACGAAAACGGCCTTCAGCGGCGCGTGTTTCGGTACCCTGCTGGACTTGCTTCGGAGCCGAAGAAGCAAACGTTTAGTAAGTGTCGCCATATTGAAAAAAAAACATGCAAACGTACGAAAAGCAATTGAGGAGCAAACAGCCGAAGATCAGTCCAGGGAGGGAAAGACACGGCAACTCTCCCGGGGCCCGACACGAACACACCGGTCCCGGCACGGAACCATCCCAGCGCCCGACGGCTGCGTCACAGACCCGAGGAGCCACTGCCGCTCACGGCGGAGCAGGGAGCGGCCTGGGCGCCGCCACAGACCCTCTGTTAGCGACCACCCGGGCAGGGAGAGACACCGGGCCCCGTCCGCACATCGCCGGCCGCCGCACAACGGGCGCGCCGACCTTCAAACAGCACAGGCAACTTAGACTAGTAACATAATATGAACCAGGTATTTGAACAATAAGCAGTATTCCATAACATGAACAAAGTGGCAAAAACGAGGGTACATTTCTTTGCTCAGAAATACGTTGCTGGCCATCACAGCACAAAAGAATTGGATGGGCAAAGTAATTCAGTAGAAATGTGTAATAACTTATGAATGTAAGTAGTGAATAATGTGTAATGATGGTAAGTAAACAATGTTTATTTACCAATTAATAACGCCTTAAAGTTAACACACATACGTAAAAGTAGGTACCTAAGGGTTAAAAATAACAAACTGGCCAATACCAGACATGGTTATATGAATATGTATCTTAATGAGTAATCTCAAAGCATAACACTGATGATTGTACCTATAGTTATAATAATAGATGGTGTATAGGCTATGTATCACTAGCGACGAATCTGCAGCAATTCAAGCATGACACCAACTATAAACCACAGCAAAAATGGCACGGATATCCTCTCGGGCGACACAAGGCAGAAAGACACGCCCGCCCACATGTTTGTCGCGCCTCCTCTGCAAAGTCTGACAATATAGAAGAATGCTGAAAGTACTCAATACCGTATCACACTGAATAAGACATGCCCTTGTGATGAGGTGTCCCTGCTGAATGTTCAAACCGGCTGTCGCCCACTTGTATCTCTGGAGCGACTGGATGGGTGTGTTGGAGCCGACTGTTGTGGGTTTTCAGAAGCACTACAACTTCCCAGAACTTCTACCAGCGACAGGAGCGATCGGGGAGACGGCCGACGCGACGGCGATTAGCCGGGCACTCAGCTCGGGTAGGTCGGAAGTCGAGCGGAGAGCGTGGACACCCCGGAGCCGCCGGGCGGTGACGGGCTGCAGTGTGGTGAGTACCGCCGGGCGGTGGCTGACTGCGGTGTGGGCCGCCGGGCGGTGGCGGGCTGCAGTGTGGGCCGCCCGGCGGTGGCGGGCTGCAGTGTGGGCCGCGGAGCCGCTGACGGGGACGCGGCGGACAGTACCTGAACGCTGCGGGGAAGGAGGGCGCGCCGCCGGCCGTCACTGGGAGCCGGCTGGCCGGCGCGGAGTGGCCTGTCCGCTGCTGCCGAACGAGCCGTACCGCGGCGGCCGGTCGCCGCCGCCCGGCCGCCGCGCCGGGTACACTGCCGACAGGCAGACGCCAGTCTCAGACAGGGACGGAAGCAGACGGGGGCGGAAACAGACAGGGACTGAGACAGACGGGGCCAGAGACAGACAGGGACAGAGTCAGATCACCTAAGGAATCCAGGAACTCTAATCGTTCGACAGCCCCACAAACTGTGATTGGTCTCGGGCTCAGTGCGCTGAGCTGACGTCCCCTCCCCCACTCACCACCCTGGGCCCTCCGGTCCCCCCCCCCCACACACACACAGAGCACACACTCGCTGTGCCGAGCTCCCAGCCCTCCCCACTCACTGTGCTCGCTGACGCCCAGTCCGAACTTGTTGGCGCAGGAGAGCAGACATATGACGAGCAGGAGTCGGACGAGCAGCGCCAGCGCGCCGGCGGCCCGCTCGCACTGCAGCAGCACGCCGTCGGGCCGCCGCTCGGTGGCCAGCCGCCAGACGATGTAGGCCGGCTCCAGCAGGCCGGTGGGCGCCAACAGCCAGCGGACGGCGCGCGCCGACTCCCAGCGCAGCGCCGCGTACCCGGCCGCCCACCAGAGCAGGCTGAGCGGCGCGCCGGCCGCCAGCACGGCCGTCTCGGCCGGCGAGAGCGGGCCGCCGGCGCGCACCACCAGCAGCGCCGTGCTCAGCGCCAGCTGCGCGTCCAGCTTCAGCAGACTCTGGGCAGTGAGCACTCGCCGGCAGGCCCGCTGCAGCGCCGGGTTGGCGCCCACCGTGCGGAACACGAGCTCGCCGCACTGCCAGTAGCGGCCGGCCAGGGTGACGGCGAGAACCACCAGCGGCGGAGAGCACAGCCCGGCCACCACCAGACGGGCCTGGAACACACAGAGGAACACCGTCACACAGAGCACAGCCCGACCACCACCAGACGGGCCTGGAACACACAGAGGAACACCGTCACACAGAGCACAGCCCGGCCACCACCAGACGGGCCTGGAACACACAGAGGAACACCGTCACACAGAGCACAGCCCGGCCACCACCAGACGGGCCTGGAACACACAGAGGAACACCGTCACACAGAGCACAGCCCGACCACCACCAGACGGGCCTGGAACACACAGAGGAACACCGTCACACAGAGCACAGCCCGGCCACCACCAGACGGGCCTGGGGAGCACAGAGGAACACCGTCACACAGAGCACAGCCCGGCCACCACCAGACGGGCCTGGGGAGCACAGAGGAACACCGTCACACAGAGCACAGCCCGGCCACCACCAGACGGGCCTGGGGAGCACAGAGGAACACCGTCACACAGAGCACAGCCCGGCCACCACCAGACGGGCCTGGAACACACAGAGGAACACCGTCACACAGAGCACAGCCCGGCCACCACCAGACGGGCCTGGAACACACAGAGGAACACCGTCACACAGAGCACAGCACGGCCACCACCAGCCCGGCCTGGGGAGCACAGAGGAACACTGTCCCACAGAGGAGCACACAGTTACACACAGAGGAACACCGTCACACAGAGCGGGACCAGGGCAAAAGTTCGCAAACACTAACTTTGCACAGGCAAGAGTTCGTAGGCAAATGTGCGAATCGTGTAATGTTTCTATGGGATACATTTCGTAACGGTAATACATTTCGGGAATGGGATACATTTCGTTCGTAATGAAAACAAATCATATCGGACGAGGTTTCGGGTAGGTTCAAGGGCATCTTCGATATATAGGTTCGTATGTCGCAACAGAGACAATATGGTCTTTCTAAGACACCGCCGCACGGCCGCACGCGCTGTGGCCGGGCGCCTGTGACCTGGTCGCCGCTCGCGCCGTGACCTGGTCGCCGCTCGCGCCGTGACCTGGTCGCCACGCTCACCAGTTTGATGGCTCCGCGGGGCGTGTCCGGGTCGAGGTAGTTGAGCAGCACGTAGACGGCGAGCACGGCCGCCGTCAGCGCGTACACCAGCAGCTCGTAGACCTGTTCGCGCAGCACGCCGTTCACAGAGTAGACCAGCGCGAACCCTGGCGGAGCACGCGCCCGGCGTCACACCTCAATAACAGCGGCGACCCAACGGGGCTTCACCTCGAGACGTTAACAGGAGGTAAGGGCTGATACAAACGTCAATACACAAGTAACAATCTGACAGAAATGTAATAACAGTGTGTCCAGAATTGTAATGTTGCGGGGAAATTCACCCATAGTGAAAAGCATAATGACATCCTAAAAATGTATATAAAAACATCCACACGGCAGTCACGACTTATAATAACAACCTCGAACCCAAACGTCTAGGAGCAAGGGCAACACAAACCTCGCAAACTCTCACAACACACTAAGACAATCATTCGAATAACCAAAATGTTCAAATATGTGACCCGACTTAAAAACCTCATTTGACATCCCGAATATCAGAATGTCTTCAACATTTTATCAGTATTTAATGTTTCTACATCATTTTCTCGTGACATAAATAAAAACAGTGCTTAAAAAGGGTCGAAGTCAAGTTTTATGAAAATAACGACATCTTTTTCGGCCTTTTTTCTACATCCTCCCCCTAACGTAAAATGAATTTAGCCACACTGTGTAATAAAATATGTAATAAGCAGTTCATCAGCATAGTTCGTTAAATCATCTTCACGGTTTCTCAACATTAATCAATGACCACAAAAAGGTCAATTCAAATTGGGACTGCACCAGTGACGTAACCACTAACCATACACTCGTGAGTAGTAGCACTGCACCAGTGTCGGCCGCCACCCACCTGCCGTGAGCAGCAGCAGCCAGACGAAGACGCGGTCGTCGGACTGGGGCGGCAGGCTGAGCAGGCGGGCCGTGCCCAGGCCGGCGGTGGCCAGGGTGGCCAGCAGCGAGCCCACCAGGAACGCCCACTCCAGACGGTCCAGGCTGGCCAGCGAGCGGATCTGGCGGCCAGCGGCACAGCCGCCGTCAAACCACTCAGCGCTACTCTCCATAGTCCAACCCGCGCGTGACGGGGGAGTCCCCTCTCCCGTTTTTATGCTATAACCATTAGACTTGGGGGCATGAAGCTTTACAACCCTTCTGCTGCACTAACCTTTTGTGTCCAAATTCCAATTTGTGTCGAAAATTCCCTAGCTCAGCCATGGACATGATAGGCCGGAAATGTCGCGGTCATGTTCGGCTATTTTGCTACAAAACATAGGCAGCGGAACGTGAGGGTACCGGGGCACCGTCACCGTGCCCCCCCCCTTGATTCTTGAAAGGGGGCACCAATACCGAAGTGACCTCCTCAAATCTTGTACAATAACAGTCAGAGATTTGCTCAAAGATGTAGGAACAAGGGTCAGAGGGCCATGAAGAAGGGTCACACACTACTACTAGGCATTACTGCCTTCACTAGTGCACACCCAAATCACTAACATTAGAATAATATCTCCAGAAGTGCAACACTCGCGAAAATCAGCCATTTTCCCATCCTTTTTGGTTTGGGACGGGCTTTCAAATTTAGAATTTAAAACAAACAAAAAACAGTATTTTGTGCTCGGCTCGGCCAGAAACGTGATTCAGGGGCGGAAACATGAACTTTTTAATATTTTTGGAAAAACGGGTTACCCTAGTGCACTATCTGCCGATGTTTCGGCGCTCCGCCACCAGGGCGGCCGCTTGGTCGCCGGCGCTAGTGTTGGGAAATAGGGAGTGTCCTATCCAGGAATACTTCATCCACGACCCTCTCAAACATCGGTTCATAACTAAACATGACACACTGAATCGGAAAAATGCACCTGTGACCCCTCTGTGTACCCCTGAGTTCTCAGTTGTGTTCTCAGGTCATGAACGGAACGGTCACCAGCAGTTTTTTTTTGCTATATCTTTTGATAGAGACGCTCTAAACCGGTGAAAACACGTCAGATATGTTCAGCTCGGCGATACGGATCAACTGATATGCAACATTACCCTTTCCAGTCGGGTCATGACCTTGACCTGAAGTCAAATTTTCAAAATGGCCTTAAAGGTCAACAAATAGTTCATTCGACGCGTATCGACGAGAGGAACACGATGCTGCCAAAAGTAATGTCGTGGCTCTTTTGAATCAAAAGTTATTGCCACAAAACATTTTTTTGTGAAAATGGCTATTTCTACAGATTTTGCACTCTGAAGGCTAAGCCGTTGACCTGAGCTCAAATCTGAGGCAATAGGCACTCAGAAAGGTCTGTAAAAGGGCTATGGAATGCGCTTTTCCGCGGCGCTGTAGCTCTATTGGAAGTTAAGTTTGGTATTTTTGTGCTACAAAAAACTGCACATTACGTCACAAAAAACATGCCAAAATGAACGTTGTATCGCCTTACCTTTCCCAACGCAGTAACACGAGTATGTGAAACTATGGGTATTCCCAGGTCCTCAAATGATGGTGGCTGGCTATCTTCAATTGAACCCATTGCTCAGCACCTCTCGACTCTTTCAAAGGAAATACCCATCGAGCTGAAAAGAAAATAATCAATTAGAGCAGTTCACCACAAATCACGTGTGGCACTGGCATGTCATTACATTGTTGCTTTTTAACATTTTCACATCAACAGGCATTTAAGGGCAGTCAAACTGCAAGCAACACGGTACATTAACGCCCCAAAAATCAATTATAAAGCGGAGGTTGCGCATAAGGAAGCCAATCCACAGCCTACAGTGACCGTCCAGGAAACAAGGACAGTCGCAGGCACGTTTGTAGGTCCTCGAGCCTTGGCACCGCTCCGGACGTCCCGACTACACGGCGCAGCACACTGCACCGCACTGTCCGGCTCGACTGTCCTGTATCCACCCCCCCCCCCCCACCCCGTCCCGTCAACCCCGTCACCCACGTGGCGCTCCGCCGGTAATTTGACCTGAAAGCTCAAGTTTCGTGGCATCGGCGCCGCCAGTCAGGCATGAAAACAGCGTCATGAAGCTACGTCTAGCCATCTATCCCGCCGGTCGATTGGATGGCCTTACAGGCGTATAGTTACAACATAAAATACGGAGATTTATTTGGTTTTCTGAGGATGATGTGTAGGTAATTAACCGTTTACCTATGGTATTCTCTTGGCAGTACATTTGGAGGATAAAACACAGAAAGAAGCAATAACTCGGTGCTGGACAGTGTTTTACAACAGATCAATAAACCACTGACAAGTCTGTGAATAGTCGGCATGGCTGGCAAAAGCAAGCGATTAAGCAAATGGCAAAAAGTGAGCCTGAATTAGTACGAGGTCGCAGGACTTTAACCCGGCACCGCCTGGGCTATTTCCGTACCCAAGACAGCCTGGGGGGGGGGGGGTCGGATCCGACCCCCCCCCCCGTCATCTCGAGAACCAATAGTCGTATCGAGCACCGCGAGGCGGCGTTCGAAAGCACTCTTAAGATTTTAAGATTGCGGTCAACTTTCGGGTCAAGGTCAGGTCAAAGGTCAAATTCTGGGGTTTTGCATGATTAGGCTTACGGACAGCGGAATCGATAGCTGCTGCTCGAAACTCACCAAAAATGACCTCATAGACCTAGTGAAGGTACCACAGGGCCTATCTTAACATGTAAACTGGGGTGGCAAAACCCACCCCAGTGGTGCAATTTTCCACCCCAGTAGTCTTACTTTGCCACCCCAGTGAAAAACAGCCGAAAAGTCAGCCCACAGATGGGCAATTCCATGACAGATCACCTAGGCATGTTCACCATGACCTCTCCGATTTTGCTCAAATTTGACACAGTGTCCTAGAATTGGTTTTGAGCTAGGGTGTCGAGTGGAAAAATCAGACCAAAAACGAGCAAAATGAGTGGAAAATTAGGCATAACATAGAGCTTCATAACTGCCACCTACGGGCACAGCCGACAACAATTGACGCCTGAAGCTATGATTGCTGTCACCAATAACTTTGGTCTTCGTAACAAACTAAAAACCTTGAGGAGTGGACAATGTAAGGTTTAACTTAGTAGTATGGCATAGCACCTAATATTGGTGACGATGCTATTAAAAATGAAAACCTGCATTTCTCAGCAATTTGTTTTTCATCTACACAAGGCCAAAGGGCATTTACCCTGCAAAGGGGGCTAGAGAGTTCCAAGTGATGTGCCAATGCTGAATGGCTACATAAAATTCATACTAAATACAAAAAAGGTAATTCCTATTAGGTAGCTGCTAGCTGTGGGAATTGGTAGGTACCTACCTATTGTACAAAGACAATCAAATTGAAATGCCTATCAAATACCTCTGTCTCATATTGCCGGAACAACTGACCCTACTATCGAAGACTGATAATAATTTTGAAAGATGAAATAACACAAGCTGGCTGATTTCACACCAACTTCAATCGACACAAATGCGCAAGAATTGTATGTTTGCGTTACTCAAGGTCATTCTTCCCTCCCTCCCTCTCCGGTCAAGCTCTCCGCTAAGCCGCTCCGACCGTGGCGATCGTGTTCTTGTGCACTGGCGGATCCAGGGGGGGGCATTTAGGGCCATGGCCCCCCCCAAAGGCCTAAAGTGGCCTGTTTGGCCCCCCCCAAAACGTCAGAAAAATTGCTAAGAAAATACACCTTGATGGAGGTTTTTAGCCACTTGGTGAAGAAAAGCTTTCCACAGCATAATATGGAGGCAATATGGTAGCAGTGAGGGTCAGTCAAAAGTTGCGCGAGCGGAGTTGCCACCTTCAAAAAAAGACTGGTTGGCACGTGTTTATGGCGCGGCAGCTGGTAGTTGGCGGTGTTTCGCGTGGTGTGGCATCACTGGCGGATCCAGGGGGGGGGGGGCACGGGAGCCTGAGGTGCCCCTGACAGCAGGCCCGTGGTGCCCCTGGACCCTGTATTGTATTGTATTGTATTGAACAATCATGAGCGATCCACATTCTGAAAGTGCGTGGCGATTACTGCTGGCAGGCCTGTGGTGCCTCTGGCGGGCCTAGGGTGCCCCTGCTAGGCTGCTGATGCCCCTGGGACCTGACAGGACTGTGATGCCCCTGACAAGCCTAAAGTGCCCCCAACAGACCCGTGATGCCCCCGACAGGCCCAAGGTGCCCCTGCGTGATGCCGTGATGCCTGCGAGGCCGGTGGTGCCCCTGCGAGGCCGGTGGGGCCTCTGACAGGCCCATGGTGCCCCTGCGAGGCCGGTGGTGTCCCTGCTAGACCGGTGGTGCCCCTGGCAGGCCTGTGATACCCCTGCTAGGCCGCTGGTGCCCCTGGGCCCTGACAGGACTATGGTGCCCCTGACAGGCCCAAGGTGCCCCTGCAAGGCCGGTGGTGCCCCTGTAAGGCCTATGGTACCCCTGCTAGGCCTCTGGTGCCCCTGACAGACCCATGGTGCCCCTGCGAGGCCGGTGGTGCCCCTGGCAGGTCTCTGGTGTCCCTGACAGACCTGGGGTGCCCCTGACAAGCCTGCGGGGCCCCTCACAGGCCCGTGGTGCCCTTGCTAGGCCTGTGGTGCCCCTGGCGGGCTGGTGGTGCCCGGTGCCCCTGCTAGGTCGGTGGTGCCCCTGACAGGCCTGTGGTGCCCCCGGGCACCAAGGGGGTCATGACTCATGTGGCCCCCCTTGGATCTGCCACTGATACGTTATGGCTTATGCAATATGCAATTGCAGGCACTTGGTATCCCTCACTTATCCCTTATTGGGGGCTCTGGCGGGCTCCTGAGGGCCCACGTCTATCTCCGGGAGCCCTAGACGGGCTCCTTTGGGTCCTTTCAGTCCACTATAGCATAAGAGGTCTCCACTCGAGTCCTATACATCTGAGGGCGTACCCTGACGTCTGAGGTACCCAACTGCAGCTCCAATGGTCTCTTACACTGGCGGATCCAGGGAGGGGGCATTGAGGGTCATGCCCCCTTCCCAGAGGCCTAAAGTGGCCCGTTTGCCCCCTCCCCCAAACGATAATGAAACATAGTTCAATCAGTGCGTGGCCCAGGAGCCGAGTTAGACAGGGGGTGTTTTACCACCTCCCGGCCCGCAAAGGGACCCAAGCACTGACTCGAAGCGGGTTAACTGGTCGACAAAAGCAATGGTAAGTGTTTGCAAAGTAATATAAAGGCATGGGTCGGGTGGGCTACCATTTATATATTTTTATTTTTAGTAAAAAAAAAATATTCATAGTGTCAGGGCTGTGACGAAAAATAAGTGGCCTAAATCCGATGAGAAAACAGGATTTGGGGGTACCCTAGGTTTGGCTCCTGCATGAGTTGGCCCCCCCCAAAACGCAAGCCTGGATCCGCCAGTGTTCTTGTGTTTTTCGCAAAAAATAAGTCACGGAAGGCAACCAAATCACTCTAACAGATAGAAAAAAAATGCGTTCTCTCACATTCAAGTGATCTTCTTACGAAAAAATTTGTTGTTTGAAGCTGGTGGATTTTCCACTCCTGGGTGTCTTTTTGCGGTGTTTGGTATCCGGGCGTATTTCTTGTATATATCAACAATATTTCGAAGTATTAACCCTCAAAATAATAAAAAACGGTTTGCCGTTTCTGATGATGGTCATCAATGTCTATTTGAATTCATCACAAACACGCCAAGTGCCTGCAATTTTGCTGCATGTGTTAACAGCAATTACCACACTTCCCTTCCGCAAATGCAAACTACACAATAGATTCTTTTCAAGCTTGACAGGGATATAGAAGATAGTAATCTGCATGAGCGAATAAGTCAAACTTTTGGATTTCTGGTGAAATTCAAGAGATATTGTTGTTTTTGTGAATAAACCACTCGGAACTATAGAATTTAGCAGCAGCTTCTCTTCTGTGATTCTTTTTTAAATAGTAGAGGTAACCTTCGTTGAATGACCCATATGTAAGGGAAAACTTCATATGGCAATCAAAATCTTTGACACTCAAACAACAGCTGGCAAATGCATGTAAACAATCCCTTGTGACTGTAAAATATGCAGCGTTTGGTTGTTGAGCAGTGTCAGTGTATGCGATCCAAAGTTGCTGATCTGATGAATGTTTAATAGTTTTGATTGCTTTTATGTATGTGAATGCTAGATAATGTGTTTTCTATTGGTGTAGGTTGCTGAGGATTGAGGAACATGTCATTCTAGTTCTTTTTTATCTGTTCAGTAGAAAGGCAGGTGAGTGCAACTGAGTGCAATCGCATTCCACGGCTCATATACCTATATCATTACAATGACAATATTGCCTCATTTTCTCACCCTAACATGGATTTATTTAGCTCCAAATACACTTACAGGTTAAATGTCTGTCAACAGGTACAGGCTATTTCTGACAGCCTTATATCAATAGGCTGTCATAGCCAAAAAATAAGCAAGCACAAATTTATGGTTATATAAAAATTTGTTCTCTACAACACACATCACAGGAACAGTGATTTTGGCACAGCTTCCATCAGTAGTTTTCCCTCCATTCATAGTTGACATGATGACGATCTTGGACTTGAAGGATGGCCTTTGGCTGGGATGGAGTGCAGTAGGTAAGGATTGCCCTGAGGATCAAGGTTTCAAGAGACATGTCAACATGGGGTGCACTTTTGTCTATATTTACACATGTTTTTTTCTTTTTTTAAGTGCTGATGTATTGACAAAAGTTTTTTAGGGAGTGGAAAATTATCCTCAAATAAGCTAAAAAAGAGTGGAAAATTCATGGTGACTTGGGTGCTGCTTTGCACCCAAATTTTCCAATCCTAGGACACTGATTTGACATGCAAGTTGACCTATGGGCACTACTTCGTCCCAGTGAATTTTTAGTCTCTAGGTCACAGGGGTCATGAGATATGGATCATGCAAATTTTAAGGTTTCCCGGAATATTGAAACATAAAGTATTTTCTATCTCTGCAACGGTTCACCGGATCAAAAAAAGTTATATATGAAATAATAAGCGCACAGGCTGGTGCGTCTAGCAAAAATGTGAACGAAACCTCAGGGTCATTTTTTGACCTTGTGACCTTTTCTTGACCCCGTGACCTTTCAAATTTGTCCTATTTTAAAAATTCTGATTTTTTCTATCAGAGATGTCTTATCCATGCTCTTAATAGTGGTATGTGATTTGGTTGGTATATCGGACCTGTTGACCTCAAACTGAGGTCAACAATGTGGTCATGACCTGACATGAAAATGACATCTGCCGAGAACGTCATGAATCATAGGCGATATGGGTGTCATATGAAAGCTAACTTCACGGAGAACACATTGGTGGTGTTTTTGAGTAGGTATGGGCCGGGTCAAGGTCACATTAGGTCAGTGACCTAACACAGCATTGTGTTCTTTGAAGGTGGCGTATTTTATTTGTTGGTAAGTCCAGTGATCAGCATACAATAAAAAGGAAACAAAACGTCATAAAACGTCTTTTTTATTCAAAAAGCAGAGATAAAATGCACATATACCCATATAAACACACTTGCAAAAACACACACATTCATACACCTTGTTCGAGGAAGTTCTTTCAAACAAAGCCCAGTGACACACGCGCTGTGAAGAACGAGTCTCAGAAGACTCGGACAGCTTGAAGGCTGCTATGGTATTGGAGTCGAGCAGTACAAAGCGGTGAAACGTCCTGGTACCCTTCACCATGCGGGCACTTGTGAAGCGTTCTTTCATTTTTGTCTTCGTTTCTGCTATTTGCGTTGCGGGAGCTGACGCGGGAGCTGAAGCGGCATTTCAGGCAGTGGTTATTCCCCACATTTCAAATGAATGCCCAAGACTAAAAAATACAATACTTCTCTGACGGAGCAGCGTCCCAGTACAAGAACAAATACAATTTTGCAAATATATGTCATCATGCCGAGGATTTCGGTGTTCAATGTGAGTGGATTTTTTGCCACCTCGCATGGCAAAAGCGTATGCGATGGTATTGGTAATACTGTGAGGACCACCTTACCGATAAAATGCATTTCTTCTTCGTTTCGGCAACGCAAATAGCAGGAACGAAGACGAAAATGAAAGAGAACGGTTCATAAGTGCCCGCACGGTGAAGGGTAGGTAGAAGGTACCAGGACGTTTCACCGCTTTGTACCGCTCGACTCCCACACCATAGCAGCCTTCAAGCTCTCCTAGTCTTCTGAGACTCGTTCTTCACACCGCGTGTGTTACTGAGGTTTGTTTGAAATATCTTCCTCGAACAAGGTGTATGTATGTGTGTGTGTTTGTGCGAGTGTGTGTATATGGGTGAATGCATTTTATCTGTGCTTTTTGAATAAAGACAGACGGTGTTTTATAACATTTTGTTTCCTTTTTATTGTGTGCTGATCACTGGGCTTACCAAACAAATAAAATACGCCACCTTCAAACTCAAAGAACACAATGCTGTGTTAGGTCACTGACCTAATGTGACCTTGACCCGGGGCCCATACCTACTCAAAAGCACCGCCAATGTATTCTCCGTGAAGTAAGCTTTCATATGACACCCATATTGCCTATGATTCTCGACGTTCTCGGCAGATGTCATTTTCATGTCAGGTCATGACCACATTGTTGACCTCAGTTTGAGGTCAACGGGTCCGATATACCAACCAAATCACATACCACTATTAAGAGCATGGATAAGACATCTCTGATAGAAAAAATCAGAATTTTTAAAATAGGACAAATTTGAAAGGTCACGGGATCAAGAAAAGGTCACGAGGTCAAAGGGTCAAAAAATGACCCTGGGGTTTCGTTCACATTTTTGCTAGACGCACCAGCCTTTGCGCTTCTTATTTCATATATAACTTTTTTTGATCCGGTGAACCGTTGCAGAGATAAAAAATACTTTATATTTCAATGTTCCGGAAAACCTAAAAATTTGCATGACCCATATCTCATGATCCCTGCGACCTAGAGACTAAAAATTTACTGGGACGAAGTAGTGCCCATAGGTTACTTACATGCCAAATTTGAGCAAAATCGGAGAGGTCATGGTAAACAATTGGAAAAAAAAATTAGGTGATTTGTCGTGGAATTGCCCAGATACTAGCTGCCGACAATCACGGAGGCGACACATTCTTGAGGCGTAACTCAGCTTGACAGGGGGAAAAGGGCTCACTGAGGCGCCACCACCACCAATGGGGCGCCCTCTCACTACTGGGGGCGCCCTGCCGCAACTGTGGCGCCTTACTTTGATTGGGACACATTACCGGTAATAGGGCACCCTACCACGACTGAAGAGCTCTATCAACATTGGGGCGCCCAGACACGATTGGGACGCCAACCACTCCGCCGTTTTTGGCACACCTATTTGTGCATCTTTTCCGTACATGTGAAAATTTCAGCCCCAGGTCGCTCAAGGTTAGGTCACGTCACGCCAAGTGACCTCACCTCAGAAAACAAAAATAGAATGCTCGTCATAGCTACACCGACTGAACAATTGCCTTGAAACTTTCAGCGGTTGATAATAGTAGCAATATCTATAAAACATATATCTCATAATTTTGATATCGGTGACCTAAGGTCAGGTAAATTTGTGACCTCTCAATTATCCCTCGCCCCGTTGGGGGGGGCCATTTTGCCCCCCCCTGTGGTTTTTCCTGAATAGCAAGAAAACGGCGGCGCACAGCGCCGCCAAATTTTCAGTACCTTTCAGGGCATCAATTTGACACCTTCACACCAAATTTCAAGTCTTAGGTCACCTTAGGTCAGGAGTTATTGAGGTCAAACTGAGGTCATGTTCGAGCAAAAACGAGCAAAAAACATGCAATCTTGAAACGCTCACCAAATCTACAGTTATCAAGCAATTTCAAAGTTCTTTATATGGTCTAATAGACAAAAAGCGGCGCTACAAAACTGCTATCTCGGATTTTCAAAATTTTGGGTTTTTGACCCAAAAAATTTCAAAAAAATTTTAGAATTTTTTTTTTTAAGAAAAACTAAAATAAAATCCAAAATTTTTCCGAATTTCGAAAAACCGGAATATATGTGATAGTCCCTGCGCTCTTCTATATACATACCAAATTTCAGATCGATATCTCGTTTTTTGGCCAAGTTATAACGAAAAAACTGTTCAAAAATGATGACGTCAAATTTTTGAACTCAATTTTTAGCGATTCTAGACCTCGTACGGCAAAACAAAGACCACCATTGAACTCCCCGTGACGAGCTGCGTCGATTCGATACCCATTTTATGCAAAATATCAACTTTGAAATTTGACCTTATTTGACCTGCCCTTGACCTGACCTTGACCTGACCTTGACCAAAACGTGACCTAAGCTGGCCCCAAAGGCTGCCTGACCCACATAATCGCATTTGTCATGTAAAATGGACCATAAAACATGTATCACACGACACTTTCATATTGTGACCCCCCAGTGACCTGACCTCAGTGACCTGACCTGGTATCAGTGACCTCAACTAGCAAAATATGTGTTTGAAGAACATTTCCCCATCGATGATTTTCAATGAAATGCATTTTACTCGATTTTACAACGTATTTCTTGAAATGCCTGTAAACGGTGAAAATTGGACCTTTGACCTGACCTGTGACGTCATCGGTTTGACCTAGGTCAATAAAATTGGGTCACAAGGTAGTTCCCTGATAGGGCTATCCAACACCGTTTGCCGCTTGTCGCTACGTTGCGTGGTTCTCGAGATCTTAGGGGGGGGGGCAAAATGCCCCCCCCCCCCCAACGGGGCGCGTTGCTCGGCAGAGCCCAACGGGGCGCGGGTTACAAGTCAATGGGAGAAAATTGAAAGGCGTCTGTTTTGCACGAACGCCATTCTAGACACTCAAACATCGGGGTGCAGGCAAACTTGACACACTGAAATGGAAAATGGCACCTGTGATCCCTCGTCATGTCCCCGAGGTCATCTCAGATCACGAATAGTATCTAACATTGTTTTGCTAATAACTTCTGATAGAGGCATGCTAGAGCGATGAAAACGCCTTAGATGTGTTCGGCTCAACGATGTGGATCGACTGATATGTAACATGACTTTTTCCGGTCAGGTCATGACCTTGACCTGAGGTCAAATTTTCATGTGACCTTTCAAAGTCAAATTATTGTTCATTCGACGCGTCTCGACGAGATGAACACGATGCTGGGAAAAGTAATGTCGTAGCTCTTTTGAGTCAAAATTAATTGCCGAAGAAAAACACTTAATTAACGCGGTTATTTTTGGAGTCTTTGCCCTCTAGAGGCTAAA